ATTGGTATTCAAGTTTTGGTTTGTAAGGATTTGATTGGTATAAGTTATCCACAGTTATTATATTGCAAAAATATTGATTCAGACATCTATAAAACTCAAAATAATTGAGCAATGCATATCCTTTTCGATAATTTCCTCTTCTACCTCTACAGTTGTAAATACAACTTTATATACATAGAATATTCTAAAATAGTAGTCAATAACAATATTAGTGTTATTTTAAATAATACTGATTTGTTAAGTGAGATCAATGGAATAACAGGTCATTAAAGATGCTCAAATTATAATAATAATAATAAAGATATAATAGCAAATAGAATATCAACTAAAATTAGAGAAATTTCCACAGAAATTGAGGATCATTCAAACCTAGATGGTCAGTGGTAATGATAATGTCTGAACTAGCTTCTTTTGGACGCACAAATTAGGCTTCTTAATGTGGATCTAACGGCCAGCTCAGCAATATTTAGTAATCAAACTCTTAAAGAGAAGTTAAGATTTGTCGATATGCGGTAAATGAGACTGAAAGCCTGGTCAGCATCAATCTTGTGTTCTGTTTCCACAAGATGAGGTAAAATGGCGCACGAATAGATAGATTTTGTTTGTCCTTTACTTAACCACTTTGCAGTGTGATGTTCGGTAATCCGACGAGAAACACGCCAAATTGTACGGCTATGTATGATATGATATAATTTATGAAAATATTTATGGAAATATTCAATATTTGCAAAAATTTGTCTGTCTTAGTACATAATACTGATGAATATAAGAAATAACAAATCATTCATGCACAAATAATGGAACTTGCTCACTCGACAAAGGTGATCTTTCAACATTTCATAGTTGTTGTTGTTGTTTTCCCTCCTTGGAAAACGTCATTTCATGCATAGTTATATCCTGTAAAGATTGTGCACAAAAAGTGTACAAAAATATTAGAAATCACAATAATATTATGCGTAATGTACACAGTTATTTTTAGTTTAGTTGTAGATGACCTAGACAGAATAGAAGATCCTCCATCGTGGTTTGCTGTAGGAATAATAAAAAAAAACATTCGAAACTCTCTTTTCTCTCAGTGTTAGCTGATAGTGCCCGCCCAGTGGACACTATGCAAGAACTCGATGTTATTTTATCTCATCGAATGCTTTCAATGGTCAGCACACTCGTCTAATGATTATAGACCTATCTATGCATTCAGAAGAAGTTCTGAGAACCAGTATTATTCAACACTTAGTCAGCTGGAATTTAACTGACTGACTTGACCATTAGCATCACCCATTATATAATTTTAGTTTCAACACCGATTGGTTGGTCTTCTTACATCTTTATTAGAATTCAGCCTATCTGCTTCCCTAACAATCTGGTACTTTCTAAATCGACAGCTTGTGTTCTCCATAGCCTTTATCCACCGCGTCTCTCAGAGTATTTCAATGTATGTAATCACTGTCACCTTTCACTGTCCTTCTTTTCCAGACTGACGACAATGATATAGGAATTAAATCCGAAATTAAGTATCTTGGACTTATCCTCTCCTTCTGGTCGCTCCTGATCTTCCCATATCTTAGCGATCTCCAGCAAAGTATTCCGCCTGACATTGTACATTAAGAAGTTAAGGCACTCAGGTATAACTAAACGCCTTCTCTTACAGTTCATAAACTCTTGCATCCTACCTATTCTTCTTTATTGTTCACCCTTATTATTTCCCGGTTTGCTTGAAAAATGACTACGTCAAAATTCGTAGAATGCTGAAGACTGTCAGTAGGGCGAGTAGTGGTGTCCCATTAGACGACATAGTTACCGTCGTTGTCGATAGGCACTTGACTTCGTGCAATAAATTTGCTAAAGGGATTTTATCTGACTTGGAGCATCCACTTTACCCTCAGCTTTCACCTTGCATCTCCTCAGGTAGAATAAGAAGTAACTTCAGAAAACTGTATGCTCGCACCTCTAAGTGTAAAAGTTCTGTGATACCATACTTGGAACGTATTTTATGTGATGAAAATAGTGTCAGGCAACAATTAACTAACCTTTTTTCATCTAGTAAATAAACAATTTCCTCAATCCATCCTTATATACCTTCAAGTTTCACTTTTATTATTTCTATTATATTTATGGTCCTGTCGCTTCTTTGTTTTACTCTCATAATTGCAAACACCAACTTATCTCTATGACCTCTGTAATCTTTGTTCTCCCCTCGCCATATCATGTAAAGAGAACATTATATTCAATAATTTTTAAACAAGCTCAGATTTCTATACCGCATCGACAACACTGTGTGAAACAAGCCCACGGAATTTTCACTTGTATTCTTATTATTATTACCCTAGCTATTATCATTATTATTGCTTTTCCATTTTATATGCTGCATGTTTTTGATATTACCTCTATTGTTAATGTGGAGAATTTTCTGTGTGATTAATTGTTATTTATAATTTGAGGAAATTAGATGCAGTAATATTGTGATTAATGCTGAAATTTCCATTCTGTATCACAAGTAGTGTTTTTGGAATAAAGTAAATCATTATAATTAAGCGTTCTTTTGTCATTAAGAGAATTATTAATTATCATTGGTTTTTTGACTGAGATCACGGATTGATATCAGTTAGAGAACAATTCAAAACCAGGGAGTACTGAACAATTGTTTCATCTTTATTTTTGATTCATTGGCGAAAACACACCAAATCCTTACAAATCAAGCTTTGAAAATTAATCTGACGCCTCTTAGTGATTTGCTACAGGATCGAGGTTCCTGCAGTTCTAGTGAGAAGTTGTGACTAGTGAGGTCCATCCTATTGGGAGTGAAGATGGATTTTCCGCCTATGACATTGGTTAGTAGTTGTGGTAGAAATCACGAAAAAGTAGACGTTAGAATTCATGGGCTATTGATCTGGATCCGAGTGACTAAATGGCAAACGAGCTTGCCTTTTAACCAGAAGATCTTAGGTTTGCAGCCCAGTGGGTGTGTACTGCCGAAAAGTCGCAAACTAGGATGAAACAGTTGTCGCCTACTCCTTTGGTTTTCAGGGGTTGTCTATCTATTATCAATTCAAGTGATGGTTTGTAGGATTTGATTGGTTTCAGGATTTCATCATGAGCTGACATTAGTTAGAGAACCATTGGAAAACCTGGGAGTACTGGATAGCTGTTTCGTCCTAGTTTGGGACTCTTCATCAGTACGCACCAACCGGGATTCGAATCCAAGACCTTCTTGTTACAAGGCGAGCTCGTAGACCATTAAGCCACTGGGACCCGATCCAATGGTCCTTGAATTCTAACTTCTGCCAATTCACGATATAGCGCAACCACTAGCCAATATCTTCGTCGAGTATTTGTCCTCACACCCGGCCCGCTGCACCCTAGTGGTCACGACTTTCCACTGGAACCCAGGTAATTCGCCAGTGAGCATCTTATTCAATCAGTCCGTAGTCTAACTTGCGAAACAAATGAAATCCTTACAAATCAACTCTTGTAAATTAGTATCACTGTTATTAGTAGGACTTATAGTAACATTTATGTACAACATCATGTCATCCTATTAACAAATCACCCTGATTGGTTTACCTCAAATATTAAGTTGTAAAGTTGTGTATTTCGGAATAGCGCATAACGAGATGAAATCGAAAACAGTATCACTGTTAGCAAACATATGTTGCTTAAAATGTTAAGTGAGAAAATGTAGCGTGATGTTTCGCAACATTTCAATTTGTCATATTACATAAGGAACATTTGAAGGCATAGAGCACTTATTATTTCACACAAATCAATAAAACCTTAGGGAAATGTAATTGAGAAGAAGGGAGAATAAAGCGGCGTTGGCTGTGGGGTATGAGATTCAGTACACTGAAGCATACTCCCTTTCTATCATTATCGGAAGCTCTGAGGTTATATTTTATTTGTTTGTAAGTGAAAATATCGTAAAAATTAACACCTGGGGAGTTAAACACGAATAGAAAGTATAATGATGCTAACATTCATTTTGGAAACAGTTCAAAAGTAGAAGATATCAGTTTGACAATAGTTTTAAATTGTCCTATGCGAAATTCCTCAAAGCGGATTCTGTTTGCCAGTTTTAACAAATCGGATGACACGTGTGAGTGAGGTGAAGGAATAGATATGAACTAAGTCAGCCGAGATTTGCGGAGTACTCATCAAATTCATCTTGAATTTTCCTTAGTTCATTACACATTTTTCACACCTCTTATGAACATAATTTTACGTAGTTCATTTTCATTCTCTTCTCTCTGTCAGGGGTCGAATTCAATAAGCCTATACATGCTTCATGTGTCAGTGTTTCAGCAACATACTGTTCGCCATCCACGCATTTCTGCTACCTGCCAATAAACGTCTACACCGTACATAGTCGATAAAATGCCAGGAAATGATGGAAGGTTTGGCGTCACACTAGCATAATCAAGCTGAAATAACAACATAACTGCTAGGAAAGTTTCAAAACTTAATGCCAGAATAATTTAGAAGCTACTTGGTGGATGGTGACTAGCAGGGGAGTCCAAATCAACGCACATTTCGTCCTATTCGGGACTCGTCTGCCAGCTGGATTTACCTGTACCCCGCAGTGACTGATGATATTCCGCCTGAATGCCTACAATGCAGTCGGAACTAAAATCAAGCCTAAATAGGAATAAATGTATTCCTGACAACGAAATATTCAATGTTTATGAAACTGATGACAAAATCGGTTACCCTATGTTCTATTTTAAACGTTATCTCAGAGTTTAGTAGTATGATATTTATTTTTTTTTAATTTTTAATTTTTAATTTTTTTTTATTTTTGACTACAGCTTGATTCCACACTGTATTTTTGGTAGAAGTATGGAATTTTCAGCGTGGATATCGGTAGCCCAAATTTTTCAGGCCAACCAAAGATATCAGGTGTGCGTCGGCGAGGGCTCGAACCCCGGACCGTATGCATGGTCGGCGAGAGTCCTAACCACTGTGCCACCGACGAACATATTTGTTATACGGTCACTGATATTTGATTTCATATAATAGTTAGTTAGATATGCCTGCGTGGTATGTGGTAATCATGTGATTTCAAGTTAAGTTTCATATCATTTTTACGCTGAAGGGAATCACTCGTTTGCATACATTTGACCACTAAATTATATCTGAAGTGCTTTACATTAATTGCCATGCTGCTTGTAATGTGATCAAACCCGATTGTTTACCTGATGAGCAAAGTTCATTCAAACTTTATCTTCCTCTTGATAAATTAAAATAAATATTTGATGAACAGTTTAGCAAGAGAGGAGATAAGAATGCATTATAAATAGAACGAAATTAACCCACGTCAGGTAAAATCATACGAATGAAATCAAGTAAGTTTATTATTGGATTACTATTCATAGCTTTGTGTGTTCTGCATGATTTCGAGTTCTCTGTAGGATGAACACGTTCTCTTCATACTTAATGGTTTACTTGTTTTTTTCATACGGCGATTAAGACTCATTTTGTTTTTGAACGCTTTTTCTCACCGACGCGACACCTATTTCTCCAGAGGAAATATAAATTCCATTGCCTCTCACTAGGATATATGATCCTATTCCCATGTGGAAATCATATATGTAGTCATAAATTTTAGATTTTTATTATACGAAACATTTCAGTGATCCGCTTAGTGATGACAATTTACAAATGACCAATATGTGTGCAGCCATGTAGCTAGTATTGAGACTGCTTGCCAACCGAACTAGATTTGCCGCTAACTTGGTGATATCAGTGCAGGTGGCATCATTGAATTCGTCTTCATCTAACAGCAGTGGATTGCATTTTGAGTTTCTGCTGTACACATTACGATTATCAGCCAATAGTTTCACACTCACACACCGAAACATACTGTCATACACATTCCATATAACTGTCATGTTGCATTTTATACATTTTAACAGAATTATTCGAGAAGATGGGTGATAAAAAAGCTGCCGGGAATTCAGTTTTATTAAATCGTGAATTTGAAGTGTTGGACAAATTCCAGAAAAGAGTGAGTCTACTAGCCAGTGATGAATATAATTACTGATTATAGGTTCTAGTTTTTCTGGGCGTGATATGCGGTATCACACTAGCCATAACACCTGCTCTGACATTCATGTATGTCAACATTCATAAATAATTAATCAATTTTCTTCCAGACCTAAAATGCAATATCAGGTGGTGATTGCCGTCTTATATATCATAATGTGAGTTCATCAAACGATTAATTAAAATTGAGTTTATTAAATTTTATTGAATGTTATGATGTATATTATGCATTGACCATAGTAGACTAGGCTACATGCTTGATATTTCCTTATTACAGTCATTCCCTAATGTTCGTCTCAACACATAATCCTATTTGATACTGGATAGCAACGTTATAAGTCACTTTCGAGCATCCTACACGAGAGTGAAGTATTACTTCGCATTGTTATTGAAGATATAATTGAGATATAACAGTGTTTACTCTCGACACATATCGAAATGTATTCAAAACACATTGTCGACTTATCTATTTTACATCCATCAGCAGGTTTACTAAAGCCGTGAGAAACATCACATCTGACAACATCTGAATAGCTGGAACTTCTATTTTACATGTGACTCAGTGCATTATATTGCAGGATGTGTTGTGCAAATTCTGAACATGTAATCTGATAAGGGAAACGAAAATTAAAGTCGAGTCGACTACAAGAATATTTGTGATATCACACCTATTTTTATATTTATCAGAAAGTTTCCGCAGAAATCGTCAACTTTCCAGAGGTTGATAAACACGTTGAAAAGAAGAGAGCGATTCTGCTTAACCTCAGTTATTAAATGAACAGTGATAATGATTTTGTTTTCAATATTTAAACATTTCGGGGTGAGGTTCATATTTTTGTAGTTGTATGTAAATTGTACACTTCACGATATGTATTTATAGGTATATATATTTATCATTTATTTCCCTTCCATTTCAGAGCGATTCTTGAACTCGCTGTATTATGTTTGCTATTCTTATCAGACAGCATAAGGAGACGTTTTCCTGTGAATTTGTTGTTGACGATGTTACATGTAAGAATTCGATGTTTTTATCATTCACACACGATGCTGTTAACTTCCCGGTCGTAACGTAGTTTCTTCATGAATATTCAAGATGAAATAGGTTGTAGGAATACTTGTTGAGTAAATAGGTTAACTTCAGAAGTATTGAAGAATATTTCGTCAGGCACGAATGAATTCCTTATTGCTAATGAAATATTCAATGTTTGTGTAACACATGAAAGAAGCAGATAATTGATATCGTGGTTTCTATGTTCTCTCAGTGAATAGTCTTATGATATTTATAATTCAGGGATAACATATTTCATATTTCCTGGTTAGATATACATTGCTGTATGATGTATACAAATCCTTTGGATTGGACATTAGTAACTAGTGTGACGTGTCTAGTCCTTTATTTGGTGCTCGAGTAGCTCAGGGTTAACGTCCATTCGAATCTCAGAAGGGACGGGTGCCAACTAGTACGAAACCTAGGTCGAAGGCTTCCTGCTGCTTACCTCCAACTATCTAGTATACAAATCATGTTATATTCATATTAGCAATGGCTTCGAACAGTGAACTGCGTCTACACAAAAATTCAGTATGATAAAATATTACAAACTATCACTTCACTGAGGTGATGGTCTTTCTAAATACTACTGACTACCCGTTACTATAGAATCACCCTTTGGCCTGTTCACCTACACTATGAAATTGTGTTTATGAGACTATTGTAATATTTAGTAATTAAAACACAATTTTCGTATTTAATTCACTCTTTTTTGTAGTCTGCTTGCATGACCGTTCTAACAGAAATCGGATTCGCTGGGAAAGATTGGAAATGGGTACTTCTGGTGATGGCAATAGCTGTGGTTCTCTATATCACATGTATATCGATAGGTGCAATGTTGAATAGTGAACTGGAAGTGGACTCCCTAGGAATGCTGATAGTCTTTGTTGTCTCGTTAGCTGCAGTTGCCACTGCTACACTTTTGGTTTACTTCGTGGGCAGTTACGTAAGTGGAAATAAACATTTTTATCTTTACAACAAATAGAATATGTGATTAAATGTCTCTGATTCAAGTATCGAAATACCCATTACTTTGTCAATTCAGTGACTAGTGTGAATGAGTCACTGATGCGAATGAAACAAGTGTAGAGCGGTATTTTGAACAATTGTTCAGTGTCGCATGTATCTCATTTTACAAAGAAATGTATTAATGCAATATCCTGACTGCATATACGTTTCGTCAACTAAATGTATTTATCATTGATATTTTCTGTGTTGTAGCGCGAGTATACACCGATGGTTCTCGCCGGAGGTATGACAGTTTTATTAATCCCTGTAAGTCTCCATTTTCCATGTTCATTTCTGTTATTTAAAGCTACTTTATCAAAGCTGAGGATCACATAACCATTTGGTGTCTTATTTAGCCTTCACTCAAAATAAGCAACTTCTAGTGAAAAACACGCGATTGATTTTGCCAAATTTTACACTACAGTCATTAGTATTATCATCGCCCCAGGTTACAAATGAAACTTGAGGTTTCCGCACATACCGCTGTTTCAATCTGTTTTCTGAGGTCATGTTTAGTTGGCTCCAGGACTGTCCAGAAGCTTTCATCTTCTCCATACGTAGTCTCACTTGTGCCACTCTTCGAGGCGCTCCCGACACGCCGATTCATACCCGGACTCCATTTGAAGGACTCTGTTGTACACTGTATCACTGAACAGTCTCATCATCACATCACATATCCAATTCATCACCTTTTTCTTCTGCATATTTGCCATGAAGTACTCTAACACCTGGCTTACCACTAACAGTTAAATCTGCAGTATCCGGTTAGAGACGGTAGCTGTTAGTAAGCCTGTAGCTACTTGAGAATTCCCTTCAGGATGCCATAACACCTCGAAACATATAAAACCACTGATTTTACATTACTGTTGAATATCCAGATTTGATAATTATGTTCAACAGATGTGTGACAACCTTCAGTCACCAGGGTGAATGAAATCTAATTTCATTGCATATGTCAAATTTTATTAATACACTAAAATTTCCCAAAATATTACAGCTCATATTTTCCAACATCTTCCATGTTTATCAGTTCGCCTTATATGTTGGTCAGATAACACTTGGCCCACGTGGATTCAGAGAGTATGATCCAGATTACTGTGCAACTTCAATCGTTTTACATGCCATGCTTGTCATCTTTCTGATTATCCTCGGAATTGGACTTATAAAGGTACAGGCGAAGTAAGATAATATGTTAACAGGACCGACTGAACTAATTTCGTGATTTTCAGTATAAAAGCATTACAGTAAAAATGTGCATTTTATAACCATCTGTCTCTGAACACTCTTTAAACTGTTATGTTCATGATTTGTAATCCAAATAAATAAATTCGGCTTTTTCACAAAAAGTGTATAATTCTGAAATATCACTGTTATTTTCCAGATGTGTGGTTTTCAGTACCATGTGAAGGTTCTTCTGACCAGCAATATCAGTTACAGCGATGAATGTTATACTGGATTCCATATTTCTGTATGAAATGTCAACCATCAATGATTGATCAGGTACATGTTTGGGGAGGCTTCACTATTATGAACGACATTGATGAGTTTAAGAATACAGCAATGTCTGGATCCTTTGAATACTAAGTAATTTGTGTTCTAAAAGTATCCGATGAATGTCTCATAGTAGTTTACAAGGACATCTTTGACGGAGGTGCTCTGCATTGCTGTGAAATGTTCTCAGGAATCGCTAACTGACATCACTTACTGATTTTACGAACCAGCACGTACGAATCATCTGAAGCCAAACTGTCTTCACTAGGATGCATAATTGAACCTTGAATCATAGCAGAGCACTACGTCTGATATACTTTCCATCATTCAATGGAATAAAATAAATAATTTTCATGCAATAATGTTGACCAATAAAAGTCTTTTTGAGGACTCTAGTGATTACTCACTGCTAACCATTCAAATAAGCGATTAAGTTACCCATCTTTTCGAATTGCTGCGTTAGCCATTATTCTCCACAGATTTTGAAGATTTAGAAGTAAATGAATATTGTCAACTTTTAATATTAGTCACTTTCCTGAGATAAGTAAATATGGGAGTGAAGTGTCCCTGTGCAAATGTGATGTGAATACAAAGATGAAATGAATAAAGTCTAAACTATTTCATCTCTAAGAGATAATATCCCTAAATATAGTGTGGAAAGTCGTTCGTTTCAGATTCTTTGTGACTTGGTCCAACCAATTAGACATACTGCTGGACAATCTCGATTTCATTGATATAAATATAAAACTTGGGCACTGTGGTGGAGTATAACGCCATTATAGATAAGATTTTATTTTGATAAATCACACAGTGTTGTACAGTTATATGAACTGATATTGTTTCTAGCACAAACTACTTTGACCCAATATCTAATCAGTTCTACATATGTGTATAAATGAAAGAACAAAGTTGTGTGAGTAACTTGATATGATTATGAGCAATAGTTTGTGCTCGAAACGTTATCAGTTCATATAACTGTACAATACTGTGTGATTTATCAAAATAAAATTTCGATTTCATTTTGATCAATCTCCGGCCTTATTCTAATATACGCAGGTGCAAAATTGAATCATGCTGGAGATTTGCAGGTCAGTAAAATGCGTCAATAAATAGGGCTCAGATCAGAGAATGAGAGAGAATATGTTCGTAATTATATTTACTATGACAAAACTGTAGGTAGTTAACATAGGTGACAATGACAGTATACCACAATGTGGAAATATCAACAATCGACCGATGTCGAAATCTTAGAAGAAAAAGGCAGGGTGGCGTAATACGTATTTAAGATGCGGAAATTCAACAGTTAACGGCACAGTGAATATAACAAATTTATAAAAGAGATGAAATGCTTCGACAATGGATTTGTTCATTAAGTCCTGTATGATCAAGAGGATGGGCGAGAGAGAGGTGACAACGGAGAAAATGAATTTGGAACACAGACACTAGTATTGTTTGGTTAGTTTCTATAGATCCAAGTTTCCAAAAATTTGGAGTTGAAGCATCATATTAAAGACTGTTACATGAGACGAACAGCATTCCAGTCAGTTTATTTCGTATTCAGCAATTTCTTTTCGTTAATCTTACACATCGTTCACTATTCAATCTGCCTAACATGTATATTATAACGAGACATATAAACGAACAATAAATACTGTCTTCAATTAAGTCTTCCTTCAATGTTTACTGAAATGTACGTAAACTTATAGATAAAAATTCTGTGCAACCAATTACGGTGAATTTGTGGATCCGAATGTGAGTGCTAAACATGGGGATGCGTCAGTAGCAACGAGAATTATAACAATATTAGCAATAAGGATTCCAATAGAGATTTTAACGGTAACAAGGCTTCCGCCACACGTCTCCACTGCGTTCGGTTCTCTCCCAACGATTTCACCAGGCTCCACGTCTGTCTGCATGCTTTCATCTCTTCCTCACATTAATTCCTCCATGTCACCCCCGCACTCACGATCAACTTGCTGCTTCTCATTCTGTGGGTTTCCACACGAGCGATCGCCTGGCGTGTGATGTCACTTACTTGATGCTTTCATCAGATTCTAGCCTATCCATCTCCATATCTCTCTGCATATTTCCTGCACAATCGGTTCCTGCAGGGTTGGTTCGCTTCCAGGGATTCCTGACTATTGCTGATCTTTTCTTGCCAGCCATCTGATCTTTAGGATGACCGATGACAGTTGTTGATGAAAGTGTGTAATTTGTTCGAAGTGGCCTTCGCGACACTCCAAGTCTCTGATCTATAAAGTAGCTCTCACTTCACATTGGAGTTGTTAATCCGGATCATATTTTCCATGACGAGTGCTGTTGACCTCCACACAGACTTGAGAGAAATAAAAGTTAGCCTTGCTTTCCCAATCCTCGCTGCTTCGATATCCCCATCAGTTCCGTCTGCTTGTAGTTGAAACGATGCTTCCTAGGTAGGTCAGCAGGTAAAGAGGTTGCCTCTCTCAGATTTCTCCCATTTATGCTAATTGCTGTCTGTTGTTGATACTGTGTCTGCTGGCCAGGAATCTTTATCACGTCTGTTTTCCCTATGTTCACCTGAAGTTCTAGCTTTAATGCTTCTTCTCTCGCCAGCTTGTTGCTTTTCACTTGTATATCATCCAGTTTGTGGGAAATCATACACATATCATCGGTGAAGTCCAGATACTCCAAGTTTGTGTGTGTGTGTGTGGGTCCATTTTATGTCTTTTTCCTCGTTTCCTGCCGCTGTCTGTCTCATTATCCAGTCTAGCACAATCAGGAAAATAACTGAAGACATTAGGCAGTCAGCCAGCCTTGTCTTACTCCCGTCCTTGTTTCGAAGAATTCCGTGAGTTTCAACACAGCTCACTCTTCAGTTAAATTCACAATTGAATATGGATCAAAAGGGCACGGTTTCTACTCGTGGATGTGCTACTTACTGGATAACAAGAGAGATTGAAGCGAAGACAAAAGATGCCGCCAAACAAGGTGTAATGGGTAGTTTATCATATTTCACAGCTTTCTTCCACTGATCCGAAAGCAAACCTCACTACGTGCGCTAAGCTCATCGATTCGAGAAATCTGATCTCAAGACATGATAGGGACTGAAACAAACTATTTCGGCCACTGTGAATAGGATTTCCACTCGATGAAAAAGTTGGAGAAAAACCTTCGTCGACACCTAGAATTCAAGAGTGACAGTGAGGCAGAAATTCTTATAACCTGCCTCTCTAAATATCTGAAGAAGACATTTCAGTCAACCACCTTACGAATCAGGTTTCCCAGTAGACACTTAATCCAGCTAGGTGTCAAAAATATGATATTCAGCTGTGTCTGTTTTCATCAGTTTACTTTCCACAGAGGAGGAAAGAATATATCTGCCCTGCTCAATGTCAACTACGTAAATATAGTAAGAAGACGTAGTTTATCTAAAACGTGTAATGTATTGGCGCAACACATTTCGGACCCCGGAAAAAGTTGTCCAATATCATCTATAGCGAAGCGTATTATAGAGACGGGTCATAAGGTTGATTTTAACAATGCCTTAGGCCGATATATAAAACAAGGTTGGGTCACATGCTTAAATTCATTGAAGCCTTAGCCATAAAAAGACTTAAACCTGTCTTATGCGTCCAAAAGTTATTTGTCACCGCCTTAAACCTGCCTTGGTAATCCAAGCTAGAACCAAGGACCAATTTACTTCATAATATTTTCAAACCCCTTCTTTGCCTTTTTTCCCTCTCTTCATCTTTCTTACCTACACATTTTGCGTCTCAATACCCATTACTTGTGATCTTGACCTGTACACAATCTGACCTGTGTTGTAATCATTCATGCCTTCTTGCCTGTGTGTATAAAACTGTGTATGACAAGTACGCGAGTGTGTGATCAGAATGTCCGAAATGTGTTGCGCCAATACATTACACGTTTTAGATAAACTACGTCTTCTTATTGTGTTGTCGAAATTCATAAAGGGAACTAATAGCTTTAAATTACGTGAACGTATTCGGGAAAACCGTTCGACTTTGCTAGTGAGAAGAGTAAAGAAGAATACTAATATTTCAATTCTCGGACAATTTGTCACATCTGGATATCGACTACTTGTGCATGAGGGCTTCACACTAATTCACAGTGTCACACGATGCACTTGATACATGTCATGTTTAGATAGCCGAATTATCTGCTATTCGGGACTTCAAACAACACTTTTGCGTTGAAAATCACTGCATACACTCACTTATCCTATATCGGCCAGAATAATATTCTTACAATAGTTTTGTTTGGTTTTATTGTGTACGTTTACTATTATTATTATTCTCCATATTTTATAATCACCCTAATAATATTATTATTCTTTAATAATAATACTGAATTGTCTTACAGATTTCCACTGTTTTTTGATCACTTTAATCAACTATGATGATTAATCACTTTCCACGCTTATAATGCTCGTTATTTGAAAATACGGATCCCGTTCTCTATTACTCGGTTAGGCATCCCCTAGTAGATCACACCTCACATTATGTAATACCTTCAGGAAAAGTTTTACAATAGTCTAAAGAGTCTTATAAATTCTTTGTTAATTATAAATACGATTGTACAACTCTTGTAAATGATTCACTAGGAGGATAATTGCTTCCTGTAAAGTATATTTGTCTAGTAAAATAACACAGTGTTATACAGTATCATTTGCTGATGACCGCGTTTCGAGCACAATTTATTGCTCATAATCATATCAAGGTAATCACGTAACTTTCTAACTTCGTTTATATAATTCCAGTATTTTTTATCGCTTGATTTGATTGTTAGTAGTATTTTCCATATTGCCGGTATGAGTGATGAGTCATTCCTATTGCACATTTTGACTTTAGACTCAATGAAACAGGATTCTGTAATCATCTTCTCTTTACACCTACATATATTACTTCTTAGTATGTTAATCCTCCTCCACCCTATTGTATGGTTATGTGTTATTGCATGCAGTGCAATCGGTGAGCCTTTTTCTAAATTACTTATCTTCTCGGGGTCAACCATTCTTACCTT